TATTAATTAGAGGGAAAAAATGCAAAAAAAACGGAGAAAAAGGAGCTAATATACTTCATTTGCTGCTGTTGCTGTTGTTGCTGCTGTTGCTGCTGTTGCTGCTGCTGCTGCTGTTGCTGCTGCTGCTGTTGCTGCTGCTGCTGTTGCTGCTGCTGCTGCTGCTGCTTACCGCGCTTGGTGTTGCTGCAGCACATGCATGCAGTGTCTTATTAACAGCCTCAGTTAATGCTGTTAATGTCTTCTCTGTTGCTCTTATCCATTGCTGCTGCTGCTGCTGCTGCTGCTGCATGCGTAGCCGTCTGCTGCTGCTGCTGTTGCTGCTGCTGCTGCTTCGACTGCTGCTTCTGCTCTTGCTGCTTCCTCTGCTGCTGCTGTTACTTCTGCTGCTAATGAAACTGTATGTACTGCAGCTGCTGCAGCTGCTGCTCCTGCTGCTGCTGCTGCTGCTGCTGTCTTTAGGCAAGTCGCTGTCCTCGCTACTTCTGCTCATATCCTCCGTGCATGCACCCCACATCTGCTGCTGCTGCTGCTGCTGCTGTTGCTGCTGCTCAGTGCGTTTGACGCTGCTTCGTCCACGCTTCTGCTGCCTTTTTTGCTGCTGCTGTTGTTGCTGGGGTTGCTGCTGCAGCAACTGCAGCAGCTGTGTACCTGCTGCATGCAACCTTGCAGACAGCAGCAGCAGCAGCAGCAGCACATCACCATGAACAGGAGTACCAGGAGCAGCAGCACGCAGCAGCACACCAATAACTTTTGCTGCTGCTGCTGCATGCGCCCCGCTGCAGTATACAGCATTATTAGCTGCAGCAGCACAATCAGCAGCAGCAGCAACAGAAGCAACAGTCTTGCTGCTATCTATTAGACCTGCTGCAGCAAGGGATTTAGATAAGGAAGTAGCAGCAGCAGCAGCAGCAGCAGCAGCAGGCTGCTGCTGCAGCAGCAGCGCCAACTTAAGGAGTCTGTATCTAATAACACGAGGGGGAGCAACACGCTCGCATGTTTGCTTCGTGCTGCGCCGTGACTTAGAGGGAGCAGCAGCAGCAGCAGCAGCAGCAGCAGCAGCAGCAGCAGCTGTTGCTGCTGCACCTCGGCCTGTTGCTGCTGTTGGTGGTGTTGCAGCTGAAGGGACACCGTCATCTGATGATCCATCTGCTGCATCTGCTGCTGCTGCTGCTGCTGCTGCTTCTGCTTCTGCTGCTGCTGCTGGTGTTGCTGCTGCTGCTGCTGCTGCTGCTGCTGCTGCTGTTTCTTCTTCTGATGTATCACTAACATAACACAGCAGTGCAGCAGCATCACAATTATTGGGGTGTATGTACACCTGCTGCTGCTGCTGCTGCTGCTGCAGCAAATCAATAGATCCTAAGCATTCTAATGTATTTAAATCTTCTTCCTCCTCATGCTGCTGTTGCTGCTGCTGCTGCTGCTGCTGTAGTCGCTGCTGATGCTGCTGCAGGATAGCAGCAGCAGCAGCATCACATCCTTCGCATGCACCTCCTCGTATTGCTGCTGGTTTGCTGCCGCATGCCCAACAGGTGTACGTACACCCCACCCTGCTGCAGCAGCAACTTGTACTGCTGTTGCTGTTGCTGCTGCTGCTGCTGCTGCTGGTCTTGCTGCTGTCATCATTAGCAGCAGCAGCAGCAGCAGCAGGCTGCAGCAGCAATCTTAATAAAAAGAAGAAAGAAGAAGGCCAAGAAGAATCTTCTTTTATATTAAATAAATAATTATAATTTATTAATAAATCATTACTATACCATTTGCTGCTCCTGCTGCTGCTGCTGCTGCTGTTGCTGCTGCTGCTGCTGCTGCTGTTGCTGCTGCTGCTGCTGCGGTGGAGGCGGGAGCGGCGAGATGATGGAGGGCGGACACCAAGAAGACGATTTATATGATCCCATGGTGCTTCTGCTGCTGCTGCTGCTGCTGCTGTTGCTGCTGTTGCTGCTGCTGCTGTTTGTGCTGCTGCTGCTGTTGCTGTGCTTCCTTCTTCATCTACTGCAGCAGCAGCAGCAGCAGCAGCAGACGGAACAGCAGATTGGGTCATTTTGCTCTATGACTGGCCGCTGCTGCAACTGTTGCTGCTGCACCTGTCGCTGCAGCAGCAGTTGCTGCAGCTGCTGCTGCTGCTGCTGCAGCTGCTGGTGCTGCAACTGGTGGCGTTGTTGCTCCTGCTACTCTCGTTGTTACTGCTGCTGCAGTGTATTTATTACTTCTGCTGTTGTTGCCGTTGCTGAATCAGCTGCTGTTGCTGCTGTTTTGCTGCTGTTGCTTCTGTTGCTGTCCTTGCTGCTGCTGCTGCTGCTGCTGCTGCTGCTGCTGCTAATTGTCTTAATTAATCAAAGGTTTAATTAACATCTTTTTTAAGGGTTTTTATAAACCCTTTTTTTAATACCCCAATTACTTATTTCCTTCGAGGGGATAAACCCTAAACCCTAAACCCTAAACCCTAAACCCTAAACACTAGACCCTAAACACTAAACCCTAAACCCTAAACACTAATATACCGAGCCAAGAAGTTTGACAATACACCCTGAGCTACAAACCCTAAAAAAAATAGTAACACCACCAATAAACCCTAGAAGAAGCCCTAAACCCTAAACCCTAAACCCTAAACCCTTGGGGGGCCCCCATTGTATATAATAATGTCTGATTGAGGGGCCCCTCATGATGGGGCTTTTATAAACAAAAGGGTTTTGTTTGTTTCTTTTTGCGTCTTTTATTAAAGGGAATAAAAAAGGAAATTAATTTTATTTTTATTTCTTTTTTTTACGGTGTATAGGCAGCTCTTTCCTGCTGCTGCGGTGTACGGACACCGTACTTTGAGCAACTTATTATGGACTCGCCTCTCTAAACCCTAAACCCTAAACCCTAAACCCTAAACCCTAAACCCTAAAATCTACCGCTTTTTTTGCTTTGTCTTCTGCTTTTGGAGGACCTTAGTGCTCTCTACAGCAGCAACAATAGCAACAGCAGCAAAAGCAGCAGCAGCAGCAGCAGCAACAGCAGCAGCTGCTGCAGCATAGGATACAACCGAAAGAGCAGCAGCAGAAACACCGGCAAGTTGTGCAGCACAAGCAGCAACAACGAAGCAGCGGGCGGTGCTGCAGGACCGCAGCAGCAGCAGCAGCAGCAACAGCTGCAGCATTTGCTGCAGCGGGAGGGGCAACGACCCCACCGCCTCCATCACCGCAGCAGCAGCAGCAGCAGCAGCAGTCGCATGCTGCATCTACCGAGGAAATGGAGATACATGCGGTAGAAGATGACCCTACCCAGCAGCAGGAGCAGCAGCAGCAGCAGCAGCAGCGGCGGCGGCAGCGTCAGCAGCAGCAGCAGCAGCAGCAGCAGCTAGATGAGGGTTTATATAGACCCTATGGGGGTTTAGCAGGCAAACACTTAGAGGCAGCAAACCCTCGCAACATTGGCGCATCCCTAACACTCCTTCATATATTTACTTATCCTATACAAACTGTAAATTAGGGTTTAGGGTTTAGGGTTTAGGGTTTAGGGTTGAGCTTTACAATTAAGGGTGTAGCGTTTAATGTTTAGGGTTTAATGTTTATGGTGGGGGATTTAGGATTTAGGGTTTAGGGTTTAGGGTTTAGGGTTTGGGTTTTAGGGTTTAGGGTTTAGGGTTTAGGGTTTAGGGTTTGTGTGTGCAGCTGCAAAGTCGTATATTATGCGCTCGTTATTTATCTCCGGTGGTTGTGCCTGTCTTCCGTGATTATCCTGGTGATGCAGCAGCAGCAGCAGCAGCAGCAGCAGGCTCATCAGCAGCAGCAGCAGCAGCAACAGCAGCAGCAGCAGCAGCAGCAGCAGAAAATAGCTCCGGTGTACCTGTAGTTGTACGCCAGCCGCTGCTGCTGTATATGCGGCAACCAGGGGCATTGAATGTTTTTTCTTTATTAGCTCAAGGTCTTAAGATAGTACGCTAAACCCTAAACCCTAAACCCTAAACCCTAAACCCTAGGTAGGGAAGAGGGGAGGTATATTGAGGATTTCTTCCAAAACAAATTAGGGTTTAGGGTTTAGGGTTTAGGGTTTAGGGTTTGGCTGTGATACAGGTATACGATGCTGAAGGTGTTGTGGGTTTATTTAGGGGTTTTGTCCCTTCGTGTTTGCACAGACTCTCCCGGTAAGGGTTTAGGGTTTAGGGTTTAGGGTTTAGGGTTTATGGCTGTGGGTTGAGGGTTTTCCCTGATTAGATAGAGTCTACCTGTGAAGACTTAGGGTTTAGGGTTTAGGGTTTGTGGCATGACATGGGGGCACACTGCAGGGTTTAGGGTATAATAATGAGGGTTTAGGGTTAAGGGTTTAGGGTTTAGGGTTTAGGGTTTAGGGTTTGTGTGTACAGCGACACCTTACATTTTCTTTTTCTTCGTTATTGTTATAAAGAGACCGTTTTCTTAACTCGCTTTTTCTTCCGTATTGTTGGTAAATTAGGGTTTAGGGTTTAGGGTTTAGGGTTTATGGGTGTTCTTAGATAGAATCATTGCGTCATGCATTCTAATTGTAGGGTTTAGGGTTTAGGGTTTAGGGTTTAGGGTTTTGTGTGTTTAGGTCGATCATACACCTACGTGCGTTGGAGGTTGTTGGGCCCCCCAAAAGACAGCAGCAGCAGCAGCAGCAACAGCAGCAGCAGCAGCAGCAGCAGCAGCAATGAGGAGGTTAAGGCAATAGGGAGTTTATATGAGGTAACAGAGGGGAACGAAGAAGAAGAAGAATTCCCTTCTTCCCTTAAGGAGCTGCAGCAGCAGCAGCAGCAGCAGCAGCTCGTGCTGCACCAGCACCAGCAGCAGCAGCAGCAGCAGCTCGTGCTGCCGCTGCAGCAACCCTCTCTAGCCGATTGTGTTGCAGAAGAGTTATTACCTCCTATTTTGCTAAAAGTGAGTCCTTATTACTAATTAGGGTTTAGGGTTTAGGGTTTAGGGTTTAGGGTTTATCCTTTTCCTCACTATTAACACACTATTCCTCAACATATTTAAAATTAGGGTTTATTAGAGTATATA